TTTGAGATTGAGGGTTTGTGCCTAAAATAGAGGCCAAGACCTTTTTCGATACAAACAAATTATATCACATACATGTACGAAGCTCAATGTATAAATAAGACTATTCCCTAATTGTTAAATCTAAAATACAAACATTATGCTCTTCTCATTTTGGACTTGTATATCCGGACTTCATGCTTCTCTTCAATGATTCCTGTAAATCATTGAGTCCTTCGTGTTGTGACAAAAATCTAAGTGTCTTGGCTTAAAATTATATCGATATAGATCGGAAGTAAAGTATCCGAACCTCTTGAAATTTGAGAGGAGTAATTTACTTGTTAATCAGATCATAGAATTTTCTCCTTGAAAAACTAATTTGTTTTGTTTCCCGACCAACTCTCTTGAGAGTATAACTTAGAACCTTGAATTAAGTTGTATATTGGATTTTTTAATTATTGAAAAACCCTATTTACCTATAAAAAAATGTCTTATCCAGTCATAAGGAGAAACTCACATCGTCCAAGTTTCCAAAATCATAATAAGAAAAGAAAAAATTCAAGAACCACAAGAGAAAAATGACAAAATTTAATATATTACAACTCACATAACGAGCTAGAACTGAATGATACTTATCATCCCCACTAATTATTTGATGCTGAAAGATGTACACACACACACACACACACACACATATATATATATAATTATCTCAAAATATTTAATTAAAAACCTATAGGCTATCCCTACTCTACAAAGAAGAATGTAATTGTTTTAGTAATGATTGGGTGGGTTTTGTAAGCCAAATGCCAAATACCAAATGGAATCATTAGAGAACTCAGTCAAAAAATTCACCAAATTAAAGGCATTGTCCTTTCTCAAGCTCAACATTCAAAGCTAGTGGCTCTATTCCATTTGGCTTCCATACGTTTTGGTCAGTTCCCCTTGTTTAATCGAATCTAATGCTAAACTAGTAATGATCGATGACACCATAAAATATCAATTAAAAAACTATTTTGTTATTGATTAATGCAGCTATCTTAAACATAGATCTAAATCCCTTCCAGTCATGGATGAAGCCATCATAGGGACCAAAAAGCGTATATAATATGTATTTGAGAAATATATTATGTCTTGTTTTGCTTGTAGAAGCATGCTATCTACAATTTTCTTCATAGAGATTTGTTCTCTCTCTCTCTCTCTCGCTGCAAATACACGTCTTTGTCATTAGTTTTGCTCACTCTATAACGAGTGCTTATGTGATATGATTGAGCTGAAATTGATGATTATTTGAAGATTTGATTTGATTTTTGTAATGTGTTGTTTGATAAGTGTGAATTTATTTTCTCAATTTTGTTCGAAATTCATAATACCATAATGCATGTATAGTGTCAAATTGATTTTGTTTAGTTTTATAAACTAAAATGTTAAAAAGTTGTAGTTAACAATAATTTGTTAATGTTCTTTTTGACTAAAATTCTTGGCTATGTTATTGCTGGCCACCTTAGTATACCAGCTCAATCCATTATACTTTTACTAAATTTTCATTGATGGTAGGTAGATCCCTTATCATGAAATGATAAGACTCGTTTTGGAACATAGTGAGTCTTATTTGAATTCGTGACAATTGAACTAAGAAAGATATCCAAATCTCTTAAGCACATGGTTGCATTCCTTTCTGGTTTGGCCATTACTCTATGTGCTGTCTTGATAAAGGAAAACCAAGGACACCATGGATGCAAGAGAATTCCCTTGTGAGAAGTTCCAAATTAATGCTTCAACTGTTCTGCTTTTCCACAGTTTATGTCCTTTAGTCCTTGTACCTCAAGTTTAGGAATCCTCCTCAAAATTCTCACAACTGTGAATATTAAACTCCACTGCTTTAACTTTACTTGATTCTCCTTATATGCTTCCCTTTGATTCTTCTTGTACACCTTTTTGTTCCATGCCCATTTTCAAAAGCTGGTAACTATTATTTTAAGAAGTGTACATAGACAAAGGACAAGAAAGGACAAAAAAAAGTGAGGCAGCTTTTTTTGCTTGTGCTTTTGGGTTTATATAGTGGGAGTTATAATCAAATCTTGACAATCTCTTAATAAATTTATCTCTCATAAATATCCTTATTTTAGCGTGAATGATTTGTTTTTGACTGGATCAGAGAGAATATTAATCGAAGTGCGCGTAAATTGATCCAAACACCTCTGTCCGTTAAAAAAAATAAAAGTGAGAGAATTTGTTATAATGGAAATAATAATAATAACATGAGAAGACACAACAGGATACAACTGGTTTTGTAACTTTCTGGAGCTTAACTTTCCAATATCAATATGCGAATATGATGGGTTGGGTTAGTCCTGGCCATAGCTCATGATTTCATATAATAAAATGCCTGGAGGAAGAAGGGTCAGGAGGACCCTTGAGGGAGGGTCACTTGGCCAGTGTGCTCCTTTAAGCACTAAATTCTGCAATTTTTTTCACCATGAATGTTTTTTAAAATCGGTAAAATTGGATTGGTTAATACAATGTTTAAGTTTTTTTTTACCATGACTGTTAAAAGGTTTTTTAGAAGGGTGGTTTCTTACTAACGGCACTGTCCACGTGCTATGGTCAAGGGGTCAAGCCTCGTTGGATGCATGGAATTGGGGGGTTGCGACCTCACCTATGGGGGAGGGGTTGAGTCTAATTATGATTTTCGCTTGTTAAACAAAAAACAATTACTGATGATAATGAACGTTTTTTTGACAACACGCATGTTCTGAAATCGTGGCTTATACAATAAAAGGAATTCGACACTGAACCTTAAATGAGAAAGAGGGTGTAAGGAAGCAAAGGCTTTTGGCATCAAGTAGTCAAAGTGATCTATTTTTGACTCATTTTTAACACGTTCCGTTTGAACTCATAGTTACAATGCAAACTTTAATTAATGAAGCAAATGCATCAATCCTAAAAGTGAGTCGGATATGGGTGAAAATCTTGGTGGTGTGTGGGAAAAAGGGGGTGTCCTTTTCTATATGGTGGCATGGTCGAGTGGTCTATTTAAGGGTGGGGTGGGGTTGAGGTAATTGAGAGGAGAACCAGAAAATCAATTGGGGAACAAAAGAGATCAAAGTTCATCACGTGCGTGTGGGGGCGTATGTAGGTCCAAGCGACGAATTGAAAGATACATGGACCAGTTTCAATGCGTGTGATCTTCACGTGATATTGCCTGTTTATAATCCTCTTCCATCACTTACAAAATGCCAGGTTTGTATTTCTTGTGGATGTGAAAAAATTCTACAGGATAGGATTGTATATAGTAGCATGGTAGATGGATATTTGTGTTTTGGGGGTATTAATTTGTCTCTTCTGTCTATCTGTGTGTGTGTGTGTGTGTGAGAGAGAGAGAGAGAGAGACGTAGGTAATAGGATTTAGAGAATGTTTGCTATTCCCTAGACTAGACGAGACCAGTGTGTTTGAGAATGTGGGTAGTTAGGTAAAATGTTTAGGTAGAAAATTAAAGAAGTTAAAAGAAGCGTTGCTTTAGATAATAGAATGGCAATCAATTTTCCTGTTGAATGCCTTTTTCTTGAGAACCTTTGCTTCAGACAGATAGGAAGAGGCGGATATTTATGTGGGGAAGGTCTATTCCAGTAGTATTGTTTAATCCTCATTGGCTTCGACAATGACCCTTCGTCTGTCTCACAGATTCATGCAACGATTTTGGCTGCCGTCAGTCTGTTGAGAGGGGGACCGTCGTCGAAACACACACTTGCAACACCCAATCCCAATCCCAATCTCTCCCTCTCTCTCCCCCTCTAGATAGAACTATTGAACAATCTGAATTGTTCAAACTCGGGTCATATATGGCTCAATTTTGGCGTGTTAAGGCTCATTTAAATTATAAAATAAATAAAATCTTCTCTAATTTTTAAGCTCATTTTGTACGCAAGTCAAATTTCACTACTTGTGGTTGAGTTTGAGTAGTCTTGGCTCAACTCCGATCAAATATGTTATTGACGAAAAATTGAGATCGATTTTAACTCGGGGACAACTTGAATGTTCATAAGATTCTAAAGAGTTGAACAATTGAGTAATAATCTAAACTTGAATGTTCATAAGATTCTAAGAAATTAAATAATTGAGTAATAATCTAAACTTGACAATTGAATTCCGCTAACCACGGATTGAATTTAAGCAAACTTAAGTTCAACAAGCTATCGATTACAGAAAACCAATCCAACTTTTGTGGTGGCAGCATACATATAAGCATTGACCCCACGGATGTAGTGAATCAAAGACTACAAATTTGAAGAGTTTGAACTCCAGAAAGCAAGCAACACAAGTAGCATGGAATTTGTATTGCAGCCTTTAATGTTGTTCCGGGTTGGACCTATCTTTGGTAGTTTAGAAGTTTCATTTTTAAGAGTTAGGTACCTTTGTCTTTTTAGGGATATATTCTAGATCATCTCAAATTATGGTAACTAATCCTTGAGTTCAATAGAATATTTGACACAAATCTAAACAGCGGTAGCAAAAAAAAAATTGTACTGCATATAATGATTTGTGCATGATATATTTGTGTACGATGGCCCGTGAGTGAACCAAAGCTAACTGTCTTCGGTTTCTCTATTGTTGAGGACAATATCCCAAACACCCAGAAACAGACAACCACCTTGCCGGCCGCCTCACATGCCACCAAAATCCAACAGAACCCCACCCACCTCTCCTTTATATCACCCATCTCTCTCTCTCTCTTCAGAAGAAAACCAGACCCTTTTTGTAGCCATGAAAAGTTTCTTCTGTACCAGCTTCTATAGCCTTATTACATACCTATATGGCCAGTGAAAAGGTTGAAAGTGTGCAAGATGGGTCTCTTTTGCCCCAGTTGACTTCACCCAAATTATTTTTGGGGACCAGAGAAATCCTCACCAATCCCTTTTTATTTGCAGAAAAAGCTGAACCGTCTATTTCTCTCATTCATTTTTACAGAATTTTCTCAAAATTCTTACAGGGCTTCCCCAATAATGGATCGTATCGTATCCCAATGGCCAGGTACCAATGCTAGTCTGGTCTTTTTCTCTGATTCTCTCTCAGCCAATTTCTGAAATCAAATCTCATTCTTTCTTCCTGCTATATTCTGGAATTTGTATCTCTCTCTCTCTCTCTCATGATGCAATTCACCGAGACCCTACCATCACCGTTGCACCAAATTACCCCATTTTCAACTCTCACCATGAACCAGAATCACATTCATCGTACAGGGCCATGGCCTGGTTTTCCTACATCAAAAGCATTAGGAAACGTAGGCAATGCTAATTACATGGAACAGTTGTTAGTCCACTGTGCCAATGCAATCGAAAGCAACGACGCCACTTTAGCCCAACAAATCTTGTGGGTCCTAAACAACATCGCACCACCTGACGGCGATTCCAATCAGAGACTCACCTGTGGCTTCCTCAGAGCTCTCATATCTCGCGCAGCAAGGTCTGAGAGTTGCAAAATGCTCACTGCCATGGCTCATGTGAATACCAATTTAGCCATAAACACTCATAACTTCTCCATCATCGAGCTCTCAAGCTTCGTTGACTTAACCCCATGGCATCGTTTTGGATTCACTGCAGCTAATACAGCGATATTGGAAGCTGTGGAAGGATATTCAGTGATTCACATAGTTGATTTGAGCTTGACACACTGCATGCAGATTCCAACGCTGATTGATTCTATTGCCGGCCGCCTAGAGGGTCCGCCGGTGGTCAAGCTCACGGTGGCCGGAGCCACTGAAGACGTGCCACCGATGCTTGATCTTTCATACGAGGAGTTGGGGACAAAGCTAGTTAGTTTTGCTAGGTCTCGAAATGTGACCATGGAGTTCAGAGTGATTCCTTCAAGTTTTTCAGATGGGTTTTCATCATTAGTTGAACAACTCCGAATGCAACATCTAGTAAATACAGACAATGAAGAAGCGCTGGTAATAAATTGTCATATGATGCTTCATTACATCCCTGAAGAAACCTTATCTTTCGAGACAACTTCTGCCTCCTCCTTTCGAACTATGTTTCTCAAGGCACTTCGGAGTTTAAACCCAACAATCCTATTACTAGTAGATGAAGATGCAGATTTTACATCAAACACTTTGGTATGCAGATTAAGGTCGGCTTTTAACTATCTATGGATACCTTATGATACCATTGACACATTTCTTCCCCGGGGTAGCAGACAAAGGCAGTGGTATGAAGCTAATATTTGTTGGAAAATTGAGAATGTGATAGCACACGAAGGACTTCAGAGGGTGGAGAGGCCCGAACCGAAAAGCCGGTGGGTGCAAAGGATGAGGAATGTTAACTTCCGCGGCGTTGTTTTCAGTGAAGATGCTGTTTCGGACGTGAAGAGTATGCTTGATGAGCATGCAACTGGGTGGGGATTGAAGAGGGAAGAAGATGATCTTGTGCTTACATGGAAAGGACACAACGTTGTGTTTGCCTCTGCTTGGGTACCTAATTGAGAGCTTTGTTGCTAGTTAAGCTCTAATGCTCATTTTATTTTGGTACTCCTAGCTAGGTCTATGTTCTTCTATTTGTTAAGAAGATGAGGGTTTTTTGAGTTAAGGGTCGTATTTGTTTGGCATTCAATTAGTAGGTATATTTCCACTTATCATTCTTTTTCCTATAAAAAGGTCATTAGTCCAAATACCGTAATTTCTCTGTTTGTATTTTGTCGGTGTGCGCGCATACCGAATATTTAAAGGGCTCTTTTGATTATCGTATTAGAAACAGATGAAATAAATAAAGTAATTCAATTTAATATAATATAAAATGACAAAAAGACAAAATTAAATAGAGTATTAGAATAATACGTAATTTTATATAGTGTTTGACAATACACAATATAAACGTTGGATAGTAGTTATTTAATCCAATCAATTGTTTGGTTAGAAAATTATTTCATTGTATTAATGTAGAATTAACAAAAATATTTTAATCAGTGTTTGTTACATTGATGACAACTTGATTTTATCAGTTAGAAGATTATAATAATAAATGTGTAGAATAATACGTTTGAGTTGGATTATAATACTACTTCTCTTTATGGTATTAAAATACTTCCACGATATAGATATATCGTATAATACAAATATATCTAATTGAATATTAATGAAATCCTCTAATCTGATGGTGAAAAACTATGCCATATTATTTGGGATGGAGTTTTTTGCAAAAAAAATTAATAATTATAACATTATAGCATTAGATATGTGTGTGTGTGTGTCTATATATATACATATAATCCCTGTATCTTGTAGTATTTGTATATTGAGATTCGGTGAAAAACTGAGGGCGTGTTTGGTTTTGTTCTCAAAATTTCAAAAACCCTCAAAACATGTTTGTTTAATATTTTTGTTCTCAAATTTTTGAAAAAAAATAAGATTCGAAACAAATAAACAAAGAAAACAAAAAATAAGATGACTTGTTTTCTTATACATTTCTCAGAAATTTTGAAAACACGGAGTCATTATGCACACTGTTTATTACTGTTCACTTTTGGACTAAGTATAAAAGGTGCTTTTTTGTTTCCCTTCCCCGTCGTTTGCCCAGAGTTTGTTCAACCCTCTTCTTCACTTAAGCTCCGGCGAAGCACAGACGCATCTCCAGCGACTGGTAACCCATAAATCTGTTCTTTTTTTTTGTTTTTTTTGCCTTGATTTTTTAATAGGGTTTGTGTTTGTTAGTTTTTTTTTCAATTTTTCTTTTTACCTTCAGATCTGTTGTCTAACATCTCCGGTGAACTGAAGTCGTAGTTTCGGCGACTCAGATCTCCTAGATCTGTTTTTTTTTTTTTTGCCTTGAAATTATTTTCGGTATTTTACATTTCTCTGACTCGCTATGTATATGTGTTTCTTTTGCTACCTCTGTACTTCCTTCATAAACCGTTGAGCTTTTTAGGGTTTATGGTTCAATTTCGCACCATCTACTTCATTAGCTTCATTTTTTTTTTCTGAAGAAGGCTAGACTACAAATGCAACCCGAATATTACTGCCCTAGAAGACCATAACCAAAATTACGTTACAGGAATGAAAACTATGAGATTTTCTAACAAAGGAGTAACTCAGATGTCAAAAACGTCTGCAGCATTTTATATATATGTACTTAAGATTCTGATATTCATCTCTAAAGTTTTGCTAATAGCTAAACAGGATTTATATTATCTACAAGCTAATAAGGAAAAAGTTATTGGTATTGTTCCACAGACTAGAAACTAGATTGTCAAGTAGATAATGAGGAAGAAAGGCTAGAAACAAATGCCATCATTACCATGTTTTTGTATGGAAAACTAAGAAAAGTAGAACTAGCAGAATGTATTATAGCTTATTTTTCGTAATTGCTTTCCAGTTTTGAATTTTATGCTTTGCTAGTTGGATCTTTGTCTTATTGTGGAAGTAGATCTATAAATAGGAGATTTTTCGAAGTACTTGATAGTTTGGAGCTCTAGTATGGTGTGTATGTTTGGTATATGTCATGCTTCCCTTCCATTAAGTTAGGTCAATAGATAAGTCGTGGGATCTTTGTTAAAGTTTGATATCACTTTTGGGTGGAGAAAGGAAAAAAAGATAAGACCTTTTTTTCCTGTCATTTATTTATTTTTCATGATCACTGATGTAAAATTGCTTTGTTTGGTGATAGTATTGATGTTGAATGGGATTTTATTTTGGTTAATTAGGTGATTAGTTTCTGAAATTTGTATACTAGGGGTGATTATGTATGTCAACGTGTCTTGATTGGCCTTTGAAAAATGTAATGTGTTATATCTATAGACTGGTATGGAGTTCTATAAAATGTTTGTTTGGCGGCTTTGGTTATACTTGATGCCTTTGGATTTTATAGCATACATAGGTGTGCTCTTTTAGAGTTCTACTGTGAAAATGACATAGACATCTGTTTGCCTATTTTCATGTTGACAATAATAGTTGATCTCTCTTTTCCATCATGCTTGTTTAATTTTGTCTTTTCGTATTTATTAAATACAGTAGATCTGACTTACAATAGCAAACCGAAAGGCTGTGGAAGAGCAACTGTGGGTGTTCAACACGAAGTTGGGCACATTGATCAGTTGATTGTCCAATAGAAAACTTCAACCCTTAACAAATCTTCAATCAACGAAAACGACCTCATTGATTTGTCGGACATATCATATGACCAGGTGTCTCGTATTCCTTCAAAATGAGAGCAATGTGGAAAGTAACAACATGGATGATACTTATTTTACAAGCATATGTCATGGTTGTATGTTTTTCATTTATTTAATGTATGAGTTATTTAATATCAAACTTTCAAAAAACTCCTTACCACTACTGGTTTTGGTTGGGACTCAGAAACCAACACTGTGACAGCTGAGGAAGATGTCTGAACGCGATATATTGCGGTATGTATAATATGACATAGTTGTATATACTTTTTAGGCTAGTTAGTTATTATTAGCCTTAATGATAAAAAAAATTTTAGGTGAACCCGCAGGCGAAAGCTTTTCGCAAAAAGGGGTGTGAGCTCTTCAACTTATTGGAATTTATCTTTGGAAAATCGATAGCCACAGGCATTTTAGCCTGTACTTCAACCCAAGTCCCTCCGAATTCTGATGAGGAGAGAGAGTTGGAGGAGGAGTTCATCATTGGTAAAAAAAGTTCACTGCTACTCTTGACGATGATCTTGAAGGTCCAATTCACCCACCACTTAAAAAAATTGGAAGTAGTTCAGGACAAAAGAAGGGGAGTAAGAGTTCAAAGATAGACAATGTTATCGATGCATGGGCTGCATTCTCACTGGCTAGGACGGAGAAATATAAGCTTAGTTATCAAGTGAACACTGTGAATGACGCTTACAACATTGACACTTGCATGAACGTGTTATAGGGTATGGAGGGTGTTGGATCCCAACAATATTTTCGTGCTTGTGCAAAGTTCAACGACCCTGAGTGGCGTCAAATGGTTCTTAAGATGTCTGCACATTGTAGGAAGGAGTGTCTTAACACACTAGATTAAGTTTCATTTCATTTGCTGAGTTATGTATGAAACTATTTGGGCATGGAAGTCCACAGTTGACTTAACTGTTTGTGTGTTTCTACCAAGACTATTTGGGCATGTAACTGTTTGTGTGTTTCTATCATATCAGACTTATTATTATGGAACAATATTATTAGTATTGTCGTATGATGTGGTACTTGTAGCATGTTTAATTTTGTGTGTTTTGAATGTTACAAGCATATCATTGGGAAATGTCTATTATTCAAGTAGTATGATGTTGAAAAAGATATTAGTATTGTGGTATGATGTGGATCATTATGTTATTATTGTTGTCATATTTATGCATTGTAAAAGTGAGTTTGTATTATGTTTGTAGTTACAATGAAAAATACAACTGCCCACTTAAGTGATGACTCACTAAGCTCATCAAGCAGCTTAGATGATGAATTGGACGACATGTTTTTTGTCAATAGAATTTGCCTATATGCTAACAATCGTTTGTTCAAAACACCATGCATGACATTTGAATTAACAAGCCATGAATGAGTTATGGAATTCTTGAATGGAAATCCGTCACGCATATATAATTGTCTACGGATGGATGTTGATACATTCCTTGCATTGTGTAAAACATTGCGTGATGGCGGTCACATACAAGAGGACTACCACAACTCTTTGACAATCGAGGAATCCGTGGCTATTTTCTTACTCACAATTTCACATAATGTTAGACAAAGACTTGTTGCTGAGATGTTTCAACACTCAACTGAAACTATCAATCGTCAATTCAAGAATGTTATGCGTGCATTAGCCAGTCTAGGGATGTCAATAATTCGACCACAACTTCCATATGAAACTTCACCTGAGATATTATATGATGAACGATACTATCCAAGGTTTAAGGCAACAATACTATCCATGGTTTAAGATAACATCTACTAAACATGTTCAATATATTTTATTGTTCTACTAAAAACACACTTTATAAATGTAGAATTGTATTTGTGTAATTGATGGTAATCATGTAGCTGTATGGGCCCCTACTTCTAAGCATGAAGCATACTGTGGTCGAAAAACAACAATTACCCAAAAATGTGATGACAACTTGTTCTTTTGACATGAAGTTTGTATTTGTCATGCTTGGTTGGGAAGATAGTGTGCATGATTCACGTGTTTTTATAGATGCTATAACAAAGGGTGAAATCAACTTTCCTATGCTGTCAGAAGGTTGGTGTGTAGATTGATTTAATTCCTATAATCAAAGCAATGATGTTAAGTATCTAATGTTTGACAATGTGTTTTTAGATTCGAGATGTACTACGTGGTAGATGTTGGCTACACAAACATGCCTGGATTTCTCTCGCCATATCATGGCGAGAGATATCACATTCCTGATCGTAGTTGATGGGTGAAGTCCAAATGGCCCAATCTATGTGGAAAGTCCAAATCCCAATTGAGGAGTTCAACCTCATTAAAGATCCACCAAGCCCAACATAGTCCATCAGTCAGACACTCTGCTTAGCCACGTCATCAAGAGGGAGAGCATGGGGGCCTTACCTGCACCGCAGAAGTAAACGGTCCACCCTCACCTTATCTTTGACTGCATTTCATGGGGAGCTCCTCAACCATCTAACC